CCCCCCCCAATTAATTTTAGTAAGAAAATTTAATAATCCCTTCCTAAATTATTATCTACTTCGAGACTACTCTATATAAAAAGAAATTAATAAATCAAAAAGAATATACAGAAATTTACTCTATAAAATTAAACTTCAGATCTTTAAAATTAAGAAACGGTTCTAGAACTGTTTAATAAAATTTTTATAAATTTTACGTACCCCAGCCTTACTTGCGAAAATAAAAAATGTAATTTCGCAAAATAAATTCTTGATGATTTTATTTTAAATTCATTGATTTTTGTAGATTTATTTTCATGACAACAATGTTTCTTAGCTTTGGTCTATTGTAGCAACGAAAAATCTTTCTATACCTTTTTTATTTAGTTGCATTCGTTAAAAAGCTGTATTTATTTTCAAGACTAGACCTGACTATATACATATACATATATATATTATAAAATATAATCTATTACTCATATGTTATTTTGAATATAGATTATACTTTTGCATATGATCCTCAGACACAGTATATGTTAGCTGCGAATTTTTAGAGCAATCGAATCAAAATTATATCTATTATTTATCTATTATCTATTGGGAACCTTACATGTATCACTTTGCGTTACTTTGCATTGCTTTCGACTAAACGAGACATAACTGTGCACAGTGCACTTTGCAGATCAAATGTTTAGTTCAGTTTACCATACAACTATATGCTATAATTAATTACAATAATGCACATTTATAGAGATGATTCATGTACAATGTCGATCATCTAATAAAATTTCGTTAAATAGTTCTAAAATTATGCTCGGAACGCATATCGGACCGTTGTCTAAACAAAGTTTTATTTTAATAATCCTAAATGTATTAAAGTTTGTAATAAAAATCCTTTATATATATATATGGGATATTCAACTGTATTTACAATAACATAGCAATATCGTTTTTTATTATTCTATCTATAATATAAATTAATCTGAATTTATTTCTTTTTCTTATAATTCTTTTCTTTAGTTGATACAGTTCACTAAAACGTGTTCGTTTTTTTGTTAAGTAGGCAGTTTAAAAGAATCAGAAAGATATAGAAAAGGGAGCAAAATAATATATTACTTTCATAATGTATTATAGCCTCTCCGTTTTTCATGTTTTCCGTTTCTCTGCTGCGAAACGTCGTCTATAATGAAGGCTAACACTTTCTAAAAGATTATTTGCTATAATACTCACGTTGCCTTGCACATTTCCTCTCTCTCTCTCTCTCCTTTTTCTCCAACGATATAAGGATATAATTATCCCAAGGTTACCTATTATGCTAACTTATTCAAACTTCTCTTCCTTAAACGCAAGATTGATGGCATGTCCGACATCCTTTACGATGAATGCCGGCTTACATAGACCATCGTCGACTGGTAAGAAATCCCTAGGACTATGTTCGGGGATAAATTTGGAATCTCGTTGATGTACGCCAGTCTCAACTAAAATACTAATGCAGGCCTTCGCGCTGGGATCTTTCTTGTTATTCCCAAGGAGTTTTTCTAGGCTGCGGGACATAGTCCCTTCTCCGGACTCATAGCGGGATAAATACTTGTCATATAAGTTTGCGCCAAAAATGTCGGTGTTAATATTGTCGCTGTAAAAACATATATAGATTATATACTATAATCTGTACATAATAGATTATATACTATATATAGATATTTTGTAATATGTATAAACTATATGTAAACTATATCTATTGATGTATTTAATCAATATTTCTATTTGATACGCACCCAATAGCATAAATTGTGTCGATATTGTCAATACCAATGCTTCTGGCGTGATTAACAAGCAGTTGATTGGCATGGTAATACGTAATCTCACTAGGTTTTCCGACTAGAGCAGCGTATGTCATGTCTTTATTTGTGACTTTCTTGTACAAGTTTTCAAGACACAATAAAAAAGCACCATGGCCATATCGTGGAATCGGAGCTTCCGATGCCCATAGCAAATCCATGTTGCATGCCAACACTGGAATGTGCGGATATGGAATAGCAGTAGGTAATCCTGTGGGCATTCCATTGGTAACTAGAAGATCTACCATTAATTGCAACGACGTTTCCCAATTTATTGGTTCACTCAAGAGCAAGATTCCCTCGATTTGTGGGAAATTTGGATCAATTGGACCGCAAATTGGATTTCTTTTTTTTACGTTTATATAATCTAAGCATGGAAAGTTTTTTACAAGTTCTTCTACAGTTGTTGTCTTCTTGAAGCCCAATTCTCGGGCTATATCCGTTATTGGGCCTTGACCAGATATAAGAACTTGTTTGTTATGTAGGTAATCGAACATTTGCAATGGCGAGTGAGCCAGGACAACTTGTGACTCCTTGACTTCGAGGCCTATCCATTTTGACAGCTCTGCCGCTTTCTGACTACGCAGCGAATTTCCACTGTTAGTGACAAATAATGTAGGAACGCGAAATTTTCCATTGTTCCCTTGAAGCCGTTTGAAAGATTCTTTTACCGGCGGCAGTATTTGTTTTCCACGTATTATCACGCCATCAATGTCAAAAAGTAAACCAAATTTTGGTTTTGTACTTAAATGCTGCGGACAGAAAAAATAAATCTATATTATTTAAAACTAAATATAATACATTTAAATCTTTAAAACTTTTAAAAGCTGTAGTACATGACATTTATCATATTAAATTATTTATATTTCTATCTTGAAATAACATGAATACAAAAAATGTTTTTATTTCATAATAAAATACTTTTAAATAAATTTAAAATATACAGTATTATAAAGGTATATTTTTGCAATTTATAAAAAAATATAATTTAATATAAATTCTATTAAAATTATATAATAAATCATAGTTAATAAAGTAATTATTATAAATACTGCAGTATTTTCTTGGAATAAAAATATCAATAAAAATAATCTATCAAAGATAACTGGTGAAAAAATTTAATTAAAATTAAAATATTTTATAAAGTATGTCAAGAATTTTGAATGAAAATGCTCGTTAAGATATTGATAAATCGTTTATCAGTGATAATAAGAAAAGATTGAGATCAAATGAGTCGATAAAAAAAAGCAAATATAACTTCCAATAAATAATAATAAATAATAATATAAAATTATATGCCAGTGTTACGCCTGAGAGAGTAAGTATATAAGTTGTATACAAACTAAAAATAATGTATCATACAATGACAAAGTTATGAAAGAGTATTATATAAAATACGAACAATAATAACGTACAGTGACATCGTGTTCTCGAGCGCGCCGAAATAAAAAAGAAAAAGAGAGAAAGAACAAGAGAGATCGATGGCCAAAAAACAAAAAGGACAGATAGATCAATCGTGACTCGTGACATTCGTGATTGATCATGATAGTCGCATTCAAAAAGGGAAAAGGCGAAAGTGCCGGGAAAACTCACTCTGACTCCGGTGATCCTCGCGATGTCCATCCGCAGCAAGACGTTGGCGATCGTCATGTCTTCCCGTTTCTTTCAATTAAGCAAACGGCGAGGCGACGACGTGCGCACGCTATCCCGTCGCGACGACCTCAAAACACTCGCAGGCCGCCCGTCGCGGCTCGATTATGCATAATGACACGCTTTGAGGTTATGTCGACCTCACGGCGCACACTTCGCACGTACTGTTCGCACGTGCCGTAAGAGGACCTGACGGCATGATGAGATGACACGCGATTGGAGGACGGGGAAGGGGAGTGTTTCTATCAGCTGTATTTCTTTGCACTTGTTTGCACTCTCGGCGTTCAAAACAAGATCAATTTAGTAATATTTGTGTACAGTTTTGTACACAAATATGGATAGAATTATTAATTTTTTATTGTTTAATGTGAAAAGGATTAGATTAGGAACAGTTATACAATTAAATAGTCGTTTAATGTAATTAAGCAATTCTGCCAGCTGAATGAATCACTAATTAAATTACAATTGGAGTTCGGTCAAAGTCTAATGTCCATTTCTACCAATACAGATTTACTTAAATCTCGGTTAACTTACTTGTTATCTTTTTCCAGTTTTAAAAATTAGAAAAAGGTAAAGAGTATAAATTAAATCGAGATTAAAGTTAATCTACATTTTTGATATAAAATGTAAAAGTTGACATAAGATGGATTTGTTTATTTCTGCACTTTATAGGCTTCGTACGAAAAAGAGAGAAAGAGAAGAAAAGAAAGAAGACGTATATAGAATAAGGAATAATAATAATGAATTTTTTCAGCCATTTCTGATCTTTCGTTTTCTTTCTATTTTTTTCGACTTTTTAAAATTATTATTTATTTCAAGCGTAAAAATATAAACATATATAATGTATGAAAAAAGATAAATTGCTCTGATAGAAGCAGAGATCATCGCTTCGGTTCGAGATCAATATTTTCATCGTAAACAAGAGGTAGAACTCGTCGTCGATGTCCGTGATGTTGGCAGCGCTTCCATTGCCTTCCACTTACACGGAACATCGTGCCGCGTAGCATCAACGGGGATAAATAAGGATGCAGCGCCGTATAGGAGATCAAGGTTAGGTTTAAACGTCATACACTCACCGATTGGAAATTTCGTTCAAAATGTTTATTAAGCCGTTCAAAGTCAAGACCAATTACCAGCTAAAAGGAACTGAGAGGTTCGTAGTATTTTTCGGACGTTTTGATAATTCTTATTGTTTCAGTGGTTCTTGATTATACTCGTCTGTTAAACGAATCTTCGTTATTATTATCCTTATTGTTGATACTTTTTACATACATATTTTTCTACAGATGAAAAAAACAGAAAGGAATTTGCAAATCTGATTATATATATATAATAATCAAATATCTTAAATGAAACTTACTTTTACAATATATTTGAATATGTTTTATTTATGATATATTTGTATGTGCTAAATGAAAAGAGATAATTCGTTATTGTTATCTTTTTCAGGAAAAAATTATGCGAGGAGGTATTGGCGGCGTATCCGAGTTTGTCGGACGAAGAGATTCAGTCATTGTTGCCTAAAAAGGAAGCTATCAGCATTATGAAAATAGTAACGTACAGTGGACACGTAGGCAAAGTGTATTGCGTCGCCAAGATACCCATGTTCTTTCAACTGGATTCACATGACACTCTGCTGTTTCCTACAATTTATACATTATGGCATCATCCATATTTATTAAATACTTTCACTACGCACACGCCAGTTATATCCAAATTGGTAGGAGGTGCAGATCTCATGTTGCCTGGATTGATTCTGAAGGAGCCGGTGACTCTGTATAGCTTTGGTAAACTACCAAAGGGTACTCCAGTGTCGATTAACACTGAGGAAAACAAGGTTCAGACTTTATCTTTGCATCTGTTGATTATAAAAATATTGAGATGGGAGAAAAAAAGGAATTTTTTCTGCAGGCTGCAGTTGCGGTCGGTGTCACTGCACTTTCCAGCGAAGACATGTACATGGCAGCTGGACATGGAAAATGCGTGGAAGTATTTCACGTCATTGGTGATACGTTGTGTCAATTGGGCAAACCACCGCTGAGGCCTGATTTGGGTTCACCGAATGTTGACAGTCCTACAAATACGTTAGAAGATATTGAATCGATTAATCAAGAAGCAATCGTAGACGAAACTGAAATTTTATCGGTTAAGTTAGATGAATTAAACACCGACGAGGATTCAAGCGACGTAGTCAAAGACGAAGTCATTTCTAAGGTAGTTAAGTCGGACATTCTCTTGAAAATGAACAAAGATAAATTGATTGCTTTTATGTTATTTAGGAACATATAGAAGAAGATGTAGAAACTGAAGATGTACAAATTTCAAGCATAGTTGAGCCAGAAGTAGTTGATCCAGTTCAAGAGATGGATGCGCTACTGGAATACTGTTTCTTGAAAGCGTGTAAAACAACGGTAAAATCTAGTGATCTGCCAATGTTGTCGTCCAACTTCTTCAAAAATCATCTGTTAGCCGCTTGTCCACCGGATAAAAATGTTGATGTAAAGAAATCTCGGTATAAAAAATTATCGATTTTTCTAGCGGAAATGAAGGCTAAAGGAATAATCAATACATCCATCACAAAAGGTGTTGAAACATTGCTGTCCATTAAGGTAACATTTGTTGTTTGTCTTGGATTCATTCTGATAAAATTAAAAATTTTTTTGGGAAATAAGCTCTTTGATTGGGATATTGACTAGAAGAGATTTTTTCATTTATTCAGTTTGATCATCCACTTGTGAAGAAATTAGTAGTTACCGAAGAATCAGTTGCGGCTGAACCAGTAGTTTCGAATAGTGCTGTCGTGTCAGAATGCTATCGAGTGACTGCTGACGTTCTGCCAGTTCTATCAAAGTTCGGCTATGAGTAAGTATGGTAGGCAATGGCACTTGCTGTGTGACGCCACTTTATCGCGACGCAATATAATTGCAGAAAAGACGGTTTTCTATGCGGTGATGACAAAAGTCGCTGAATGTTACATCGTCGTAGTATATAAACGTGTATTGTATATCACTTTACACCGAATACATGGTGATGATTGCAGAAAGGGTGACGTAATGAAAAGAGCCGACATCAGAAAGTGTTTTACTGAGTACGTGAAAGCGGAGGATCTGCAAAACGGAAAGTAAGATGCTGCACGTATAAATTCGATCCTGCATCTCTTTCTACATTAACAGCGACTAATTTTGTAGAACGTTAAAACTGAATCCCCGGTTGGCGGGAATTATGCGAACTAAGGCTCATCAGGAGACGGTAACGATGGAGGATGGGATAAACAAGTTTATCGGACGTATGACGCATATGCATGAGGTTACCCTCGCAGGAAATACTTTGTTGCATACGGGAAAATTGGAACCGATCGACATGAGAGTAACAGTGCGATCAGGCGGGAAAAAGGTAAAAGTCTCAGAATAAATAATACGAGAATTTAATAACTTTTAAGGCTTCCACGGATATATTTTTTTTTTCAAAGAAACTAATTTGTGGGTTATCTCTGTGTCTCGAGTCTCGATACATTGCTAATGGCGCGTAGCTTCTTTGATACAAGAATTATTCGTTTTTCTGATGACATCACAAAAATTGCAGGTAACATTGGTAAACAACCTAGAAACGTTTGGGATTAATCCGAAAGAATTCAGCAAAGAGTGCCAAAGCATTGGCGCGAGCGCGACAATCACTGATGATCCTGGCAAAAAGACACCTAGTGTTCTTGTTCAGGGGAATCAAATTTTATATGTGTACAAATTACTTACAGGTGAGTCGCTTTGATTTTAATATTTATTTAAATATTTTATAATTACGCATACTTTGTAACTTTGTTTATTATTGCAGAGAAATACCAGATAAAAAAGAATTATATAAGAGGTTTAGAATTCGCCCCGAAGAAAAAAAAATAGATGTTTTAGTGATTGTCAACTGAAAAGTAAAAAAACTCAACTGACTAAAACCCTGTGGTTTAAATTTTTTTCTTGAAACTTCATCACAAATGAATATTTAATATTGACGAGTGCAATTTCAACGGAGCAATTTCAATTTGTAAATTGAAGGATGCTGCTGTTTTAATTATTATAGAAACATGTTTTTTAGTAGAGATTAAGACAATTGTGGAGAATTAACAGTCATCTTTTATCAGAGAAAGTACGTTACAAATGATTATCAAATAAAAGCAACTTAAAAATACACAACATATTAATTCTTATTATTATTATATTTATCCGACCTTCCACATTTATCATTTCATATTATTATATGTATAAAGCATATGTAACAGCTAAAGAAAAGACAAGGAAAGTTTCTTGAGGCGCAATGAATAGGTAACATTCGTGCGAGAGATGACAGCCGATCGAAGTTTGTTAATATAATTTATTATATATCGAGGTTTCAACATGGAAAAGTACAAATATTGCAATATGGGGAGGGCCCGCGAGCTCTCCTCGGGTGGGAGGGAGGGAGGGAGGGAGGAAAGCAGGAAGGCAGGATGGGGTTTTCGATTGCACAGAAGGATAAAAGAGACGCGACGCACGTAAAGGGGATGTTTCTTGCGGGATACAGGGATGCTGCGTTCGGATGAAAACCGAGAGCGAACCGCGCATACGTGTATAATGTATATGTATATGTATATAATCATATATTCTTCAAGTATATACATATAATATATATATGTGTGTATATATATATTATATATATCTTTATATCGCTCATTTTACTTCTGCCTTAATTTTTATCTCTCCTTTTTTTATTCTTTTCGAGACGACGGGATGCCGACGGACGTCGCGGAAAATGGTGAAGGACGCCCGTCGGTGTTTTCTTTTCCTTTTTTCTCTTTTACATGGATAAAAGGAAGGTTCCCTCCTCTCCACGGCCCCCGCATATATTTAATACTCGTTTTGTTCTTCATTTTTTTTCTCTTTTTTTTCCTTCTTTTGTTTTACTGTACCTGCATGCACGAGTGCGTCACGGAAAGCGACGCGCGCGCGCGAATTTCATGACATAATTACGCATTTTTCTTCGTTTTCTCTCTCTCTCTCTCCCTTTCGCTACTCTCGCTATCATATAATCATTATTCGATTGAATTGCTGGTGTTATCGGTCACTTTCCCTGATCGTCTTGCAGACATACGATCGATCGAGACATAGCGATCTATCCCACGGTGTTTTTTTTTTATCGCGCTCGCTTTGTCTGATCTATAGATCATCATCGTCGCGCGCGTCATAAAGAATCTCGGAGATATGAATTAAAAGAAAACATCATCAATTTTTGTCATCTCTTTCTACGATTTCATTACTCTTCATTTTCCGGCATTTTTAAATCATCCGTTCCTGCAATGACGATATCTCTTTTAATTCGTATCACCATGATTGAATCAATCGCTAATTTTCCGCTTCGTTTCCAAAGAATCTGATTATTCGATCAATTACATTTTTTTCTGTCGTTAGCTGCCTCTCAGTCGCTTCGATGCTTCGATAATAATTTGCATAAACGTCTAAAACTCGTGCGCGTTTTAACGGATTACAATCAGTCTTCTCTCGTTAAAGCGCCGAGCGACTCGGACTAGCTGAAACCCACAGACATCTATATAATACATTAGACTCCTAACTCCTCTTATTTTCCTTATGTACAAACGTTGCCTCTGTAATAAGCAATGTGCGAAGTGGATGTGCAGTATAGGAGCCTCAAGTAGGAGAAAGACGCCAACAAAGTCAGGTGATCAGTCTCTCTGTAATTGGCTCTTATATACATAAAAGTACATAGAATATTATTCTGCGCATATTCGTACATACTTTTTGGCAACAGTTAAAGGGACGCAGTTAGCAGTCCAGTGTGTATTATTAATGTTTATGAGCCGATCGCTCTTTTCCACGCGATTCTCAAGTCCACTCCGATCAATAAAATCTTGGATACGAGAGAATCGCGACGAAAGTTTGATGCCCCTTTTCCTTTGCCGTATCGCAAATCCGATCGCTGTATCTCGATCATTATCGATTTATCAGCAATATATGTCTGCGGAAGAAATCCTCACACTTACCCTTTCTCTCCCTCACGCACTTTCATGCTTTCTCTCTCTCTCTCTCTCTCTCTCTTTTTTATTTCATTCCGCATCCTCCATAGGAATATATAAAGCGCTGAAAATATAAGTAGACCAAGTCCAGTTTCAGAGAAATTTAAACTAAGTACTCCTTATTCTTTTCATATTATTTTTTTTAGATTTACATTGGAAAGGTTTTTCGCGCCGTTATTTTATTAGTTATTTCATCAGTCGTTTACTTTCTTTTTTTTTACTGCAAAAGAGTAACTTCAAATTTTCAGCGCCTCATATTGTACTTGTCGTTGTTGCTATCGCGCGAATTATCATTATCCGAATGTATCTCTCGTTTGCTCTCTTCTTACATTCACTCACTCTTTCTTCTCACCTTTTCTCTTTTTCTCTCTCTTGTTCTCATCGCTCACACGGTCTCTTTTGCGTTCGAAATTTTCGTGGTTTTCTTTTTTTTTTCTCTTTATGCAACACATAATGCGACTAGGTAGTACAGATTAATTAATAATTAATATCGTTAGTTATACAATAATAACGTATGACTAGACAATGCAAGATAATAATTATATCATAAATAGTAATAATCATATTATGGATCGCAATTTATATCAACAATGTAGTAGTGGCGCGCACGTGTTTCGAAGAATGTAATGTCTTAATAATTACCGTTTCTTTTCGTGTATGTATGTGTGTGTGTGTTTACTCGCTTGTGTTTCTTTGTGTGCGTGTCCCGTGTGCGTAACTATTTCCCACTTCTCTGTACGTATAAACGTATCGTAAATGTGTGTATGTATGTGTCCCTTCTTTCTTCGAACGTTCACGAAGTGTAATCCACCATTCGTTCTGCCTCGTGGATGTTACACTGCCGCGAATGAGATCGGAGAATAAAATTGTACTGAAGCCAAGGGACAAACAGCTGGAGATTCCACAAAGCTGATCGAATAAGTAGAGGTGATTTTTAGATTCTTCCGTTCGAAGTATATCCGATTCAACGCGCGATTCAGAAAAAAAAAAGATTTTTCCATTCGGTTTCCACGACATTGTAACATCCCACTTTCACGCATTTGTTTTACATGTATGTGTATTTCGTATGCTGTAGGAAGCTTTTTGCGTTTGAGTTATCGTCGATATCCCGATTAATCTCTTAAAAAGTATCGATAATGCATCGACAACTGTCAACGCGGCGATAAACGGTGCGCCGCGTTCCGTTTGAAGGAAACGTTTAATTAACGTTTAATTAACGGATCCAGCTGTCACGGTGAAGTGCACGTGGTAATCCTGCCGCGCGATCCTACAATGTATAATACATCTACGGAAATAATGAAATCATTATATATCTCAGTGACAAATGAATGGCGACGCGACGCCGACGCGTTATTTAACCGTCGTACGTTCGTTCAGATTGAGATCAAGCAAAGAGCGCGAACGAACACGAACAATGGACTTGTTTGAATAAACTGGAATAAACTCGAACTGTATGCTTCAAATTAGTTCACACTTTTCAGCTCTTTTATGCACATTGAAGGAAAAGCGCTTGCTGCATTCGTTCACGTTCACGTTCGTTCGCAACTGTTCGTGATCGTTCTCCCTTGCTCTGCATGATCTGATCTCACTTCGAACAACAATAGCAATGCGCGAAGTGTCCCGCCGCTCGCGAGAGCATTATCTCGCGCTATATAATAAGACATACGTAATAATCTGATAATAATATTCGAGACGCGTAATATCGCGTTTCGTTCACTAATAATAATATACGTAATATAGCGTGACGATAATAATAGCAATAATAAGAATAAGAACGATAATAACACCAATAAGTAATATGTGTATACAGAGTTCTGTCGAGAATATAATACGATAATGTCCCTTTCGCTTTCTCTCTCTCTCTCTCTCTCTCTCTCTCTCTCTCTCTCCATCTTAATTTCAATCTCTTTCTCTCTCTTTCTCTCTACGTATTGTTATACGTAACGGAAAAGCTGTTTCCGCGATTGCACAAGTGAATTAAAATCCCCGAAGGTGTAACGAGGGAAAATATTTCTCTCGGGTCCCGTTTTCAGCTCGGGTCCCATAAACCCCCTACTCCTTAAGAGGTTAAAAAAACGTTCTGGATAGAAACTCTTTTTCTCTCATCCTTGTCGTTTAATGTTACACGATATGCGGTTTTGTGGCATCGACGCCCATCGATGATGAATCTCAATAAGGTGTCATCGGTGGGCATCGGGCCTACTTAGGGCTTGTTCCAGGGTGCGGGTTTTTTAATCCGAATTCCGACGAACGGAAAAAAATCGACTGGCAAGATCCTTGGGAAAGGAGAAACTCTTCCATGATATCCTCCTCCAGTCTCCCTCTTATCGTAGATTGTTCACCGTTTCGATACGTCCGCACCGCCGTGCGTTCTCTCTCACGACGGCGTCTTAATTATTATATATACAATATATATATACAAATAAAGCACATATGTGTATATATATAATATATACTAGTTGCGATCTCCATCGGCGCTTACGGAAACCCCACGTTTAACCCGCAACTAATTGTGCAGGGCAGCAACGTTCGTTTTAGCTTGATTATTCAATTAATTGCACATTTTATTCGAATTAAATATTATAATCAATCTTCAGTTACTGAAGGTGTCTCCGTAAGTTCGCAGTGTCTTGAACATCGTGTGCGACAATCAATTTTCGCGAAGAGATTAATGATTTCGACCGCCGAGTTCGAAAACACTGCATCACCGAATGTTATGAGCTATATAGAATTAATAACAAAAAAACGCTCTCCTAAATCCGCGGAGATAATTTCTCGCGCAGAGCATAATTTTACGTCAACATCCTAATATTTTTTTTCTTATTGAGCCCTGTGACGCAGTAAAGCTGTTCGCAGTAGTAAGGTTTGGTGTATGGTCAGACATGCTCGATGAGCCGATCGTTTCCCGTCCCGTTTCGATCCCCTTATTCGTACACTTCCCGCGAGGCCTAAGGAGTAAAATCTATTTTTGAGAGTCAGCTCTGCTCGTTAGGGGGAGTTTTTTTTACATTCCGATTATCAAAAATTTATTATTCTCCTCGCTCGTCATTACCCACTAAATAACTTCATTGATCGCCTAACGTCGACTGTTTCGACAAGTATATCGGTACTTATCACG